TGTGTGTGTGTGTGTGTGTGTGTGTGTGTGTGTGTGTGTGTGTTCCTCCTATAAAAGAACAAGCTCTAGTGAGGCGGGGGTGTAGTCTGATTTTGGCAGTCGCCGAGTGAATCTCATTCTTGTCCACTGTTATCCAATCTCATATTATCTCACAATCTTCGTAGATATCATGTATTTCTCTCTTCTAATTTGAAAAATAATCTTACATTTAATACTTTTAAATAAATTTTACATTCTTTGTAATTTTATATTCTTTGCAAGCTTGAATTCTATTTCTTAATAATGTTTGCTAATACGGTGCAGTAATAATTGAAAAAAGGCAATATCGATATAACTGTTAATTGTATGCAAAGAAGAAGATGCCAATTTCAAATCAATAAATAGAAAGAATTTCGAGATATCTTTGAAAATTTACTTTTCCAAGAAAGCATACATTAATCTAAGATATTCTGAATCCTTAAGAAATACATTGATATAATATAATCGATATTCATAGTCCGTTCTTATTTTAAGATCTATCTTAAGTAATGTCTTAAGATGCTCTCTGTATTGATTGATTTACGAAATCTTAAGTATTATATTTAAAATAATAATCTTAAATATATGAATCAGCTATGAATACCGGTCTATCTGATAGCTTAAAAAAAGGGATTATTTAAATCTTGTGATGCCTAATTATTATCATAATTTTCCTCAAGTTTAGAATAAGATTATCAGTATCCAATTTATTATACTTATCTGATTAACTTTGATTAAAGTTTCATTTAAATAGTTTAGCATGCAAATAAATAAAATTGTATGCGTAAAAATTGTATTTACAAAATTTTAACACCTTACAAAGATCCAGTAGATAAAAAAATAAACAGAAGAAATCCCAGTACTGAGTTCTTAAAAACCGAAATGACATTACTGATCAATTTTTACAAATAATTGGATCTTTGTTTTCTGTTAAGATCTGAGCGGAGAACATAAAAAAGTTATATAAGTTATATAAGTTAATATTTTCAAATGTGTTGATAAAATGATAATGGCAGATGTTATTAAATACTTTTGAGAAATCGGAGAAATCCTTTGAGATATTTGGAAAGGACACCAATAATAATTCTTATCAGTATCAACAGCATGTCATATTATTCATATTTTTGATGAAATATGTAGATTAAACAAAGATTAAAAATGTTTGAGTTTTTAATAAATAGTTTGATTCAATCCGCAACTCAAATTTTTAAAATGGAACACAAAATTGAAAATAATCCTATTTAACGCGAACTGGTCTTGGAATTTGGATTAATAATGGCTATCTTTTATAAAATTGAATAGATAATGGCGGAAAAGCAACAATTAAAAATGTTACAAAAGAAAGAATGGTTAACAAAGCAATGCTAGATAGGAAAAATGCATGGCAAAGTAATAGAGAGAAAGAAAAAGGAAGAGAAAGTGAGTTTGCATAAGTTTATATGGTCGCGACACGCTAGAGATGGATCGGACAATTGAATTTGAAATCGCGCGCACCACGCCTACGATTAATCAAAAGTTACCTTGAACTCGAACCACGTTATGATTAACAACGTAAAACGCTTTAACACGTTAGCTCCGGAGCCAATTTTGGTGTCCTTTCCATTCGGCCGGCGCAGAGAGTTGAGCTGGGTCATATGGAACATAAACAAAATATGACGCGCTCGACGCGACTATTCTAGTCCAATCTTTTTCCAAAATTCGGCCAATACATTAACATAGCAGGAGTAAAAACACAAAAATAAATAAACGTAACGTAAATTTACATCGTTACATCGTCACGCGATACGCGTGAAAAAAAATCAAATTTGTATTTATATTGCTTTAATAAACTACATTGAAAAAGTGTAAATATGTCGTTTTTATATTTTATAAATTACTAATTTTATTTGATAAGTTTGATAGTATCGGTTCACGATTACGGACCGACACCTAAACGAAAATCGCAATGTCGATCCGTAGGGGCCGACGCTGGCCAAACGGAAAGATCAGTGTCAATCCCTAGGGATTGACGCCGGAGCCAACGTGTTAATTGCCTTCCACCGTCAGTCGGTGTGTAGCAATAACATTTTGGACGTGGGCCAAACTTTGTTCGCGCCTCGGCATTAGTGAATGCGCACAATATAGTTATAATTCAATGATAAAATTAACAGCCCGAATTAGAAAATAAAAAATTAGAAAATAAAAGACCATGACTTTCATAAGATCTCATAAACAATTGAAATAATGACGAAATAAATGAAATAATGTGAAATAATAATTATTAAGATAATAAAATGGAGGCTTTGCTATATGCGAATCTAGTACCTGCTGAAGGAGTTAAGTGTCCTACTGCTCGTACTGGATTCCGAGCTTAGTTTTATAAAATCTGAGACATTTCTACGAGATAGAAATTTACTATCCGGTAATTGTCCTCTCAAGTTTTTTAAGCTTGAAATAAAGTTGTTTCTCAGGGATAAGAGTGGCGTTGGAGAACGTTGCCGTCGCGGTCCGACCTGCATTCATCGAGAAAATGGACCATTATCTCTCTGGAGTACCAGTCGTGGGGATTCGAAAATATACATATATATATGTATATGTAGTGTATGTATATATGTGTATATCATTGAATTGTTGATATGTTATTCTAAACACGTTATTTGCGACAAATATCATTATGCCTCTGTAATTGAAAGGATAAGATGCCTGCCCGGTAAGCAGGAAATCCAGGTTCGATTCCTGGCTGAGGTGATATTTATCACAAAATAATTGCGGATTTTTACGGACTGGTTCGTGGTTGGGCCCCATCGTAGCACACGCCCTTCCTTCTTATCCTCTTTTTATAAAACTAAGATCACCAAGTATAATTATTAAGATAATAAAATGGACGTGTTAAAAAATAATTTTAATTAATCTAATTTAATTAAGCTTTAGTTAATCAATATACTTATCGCTAGCAACTAGCAACAAGAAAGTGAACTCTGATGCAACTAATTTTAACTATTTCTATAATGTCAAATCTATAATTGTGTAAGTTTACACACAACTATGAATAATTTTAATATTAATTATTATTATTAATATTATATATATATATTATTTATTAATATATTTTAATATTAATTATTATTAATTATTATGTTATAACACATGTTTATACAATATGTTATTATGTTATAATTATTGTAACATATTATTACGTTATAATAATTTATATAATAATATCATTGATCAAGAATCAAGTTTTTAAACAAAAGCAAGCTCTATAAGCCTAAATAACATGACTGTCGCGATTTGTTACATTTCTTAGTGACGCTCTGACAGACTTCGATCGGGCAGCCTTCACGCAACATAGGACGTCCGAAAGAAGGACAATGTAATTTTTACGACTTACATTCCCAAGGGGACACCGGTGTCTGGTCGCGTTCTGTTCGCGCAATCTGGAACGCCTACGCCGTGTGTCATCATATTTCCGAGGCAATCAGCACTTTTAGTCGTGTCTACACTTGACATTCAACCGAATCCTCGTGGAGATTAAGAAGATAGATGATGATTAGATATCAATTGCGGTTTTGCCCTTTTAAATTAAGTGCGAACTAGAAAAATAATCTCAATCTTATTTTGAAATCTTCAAGTATTGCTAGAAAATGAAATCGCTAACGACGTTATGACTGAGCTGCTGATGACTTTTAGAATCGGGATAATTATATCAGAATCATATCAGGAAGGTGTCATAAATAAATAATATTAAATCCAATATTGTGTGTCGCAGTGCGAAAACTGGCTTTCCAATGAAAATTAACTTCGACGTTGCATAATTAACTCTCAACGTCTCTTCATCATCAGGAATGATTTGTTTTAAACTCATTAGCGGAAAGCGATGCACGTTGTCGCGCATAAAAATTGCTGAGTAATTCGAATGTCAACGTAATATCTCCGGTATGAGCAACAAGGCCCATGAGTTACTAAAATGGCTCACTTAATGAAAGCAATCGCCGTCAATCATTTTGTATAAACCACGTTTAATCAAGCAGTCATAAATCTTTCTTTGGCAACGCTAAAATCGAAATGCTAGAAAAAGCCGTAATACGATGCTATGTAACCAGACATAAGAAATTCTAATGACTGCTGCTAACTGTAATGTAAAGCGATACGCAGGGATTATGCACGGTTTAAAGTAATATAGAATTTAAAAAGAAAGTTTTATTAAAATGGTCCTAAGAACTATGTTCACACACATTTTGCTTATATAATATTAATCTACTTCTAGATACATATATATATATATATATAAAATGGCACTACCAGCGTGCTTTTTCCTCTTTTTAAAACGGATTAGAACCTGAAGAATGCTCATAGAATGTTCACTAAAAAGTCATGCAAATTTGATCACGTGATCACTTTTGTTTCAGCTTCTTTGTTTCTCATGTCGATTATAACCTGCAAATTTTCATAAATATAGCAATTATATACAAATGCGTATTGAATC